CGTAATTTTTTACAACGTTATACTTGTAGGAGATAAATTAAAGAACAAAACCCGTGATGATTGAATTTTCAAAGTGATTAAAACGTTTCCACAGCTAGACGTTATGCATTTGTGACAGTAACGTATGTTCCTTTTTGGGGTTAGATGATGAATTATTTTTTATTATTCGTGGTTCCAGGAAAGTGAAACTCTAATACAAACTTCTTTATATGGGACCCTAAAATAATCAAACATAGTTTGTAATCTGTGCACTACATATTTTTAGGAACATGCCTGTGACATCGTTTGCACCTCTATATTGGGTTTGGGTGCGACTTCGTAACGTGCCCGGACACGCCGTACTTTCACGTGTACCGCTCTTATCACGCCGGCGTCAGAATAACGACCATGTCACCGTGTAACGGCTGTCTTCCAGTTTTCCAGTACTGTGAGCCGGGTATTTTACGATGTGTGGACTGTAGTTTACCTTGTGGTGCCAAGGACAACCAGCTGTTGCAGTTTGACTGTATGCAACACTGTAAAGGTAGGTGACTATGTACGGCAAGCTCTGAGATGCCGCTCTGATGGCTTCCGCTGGGACAAACTGCTCACGCGCCATGGTTAGGCTATTGCAATCTGATGAAGTGATTTCGTCATCACCTCTGTATCATTGTAAAGATGTCTTTATTGAAGTCATTAATTTTGTTTAATGAGAAGTGGTTTTTTGTTGGTCGAAATATAAAGGGGAATGGGGACTGACAGTAGGATGTAAACAAAAGCACAGGGTCACGCGCAGGGTCGTGTTTATCCACGGAGTTGTCAGACTATATATTGATATGGGCGCAGTGCGAGCATGAGCAGTGATAGGGAGGTGACAAATCATGATTACCCCGTAGAAGAGTTATCTAGCCAATCTGCCTACTGTATCATTCAGTAGATGACACCAGAAAAAAAAAAAAAAAAAAAAAAAAAAAACTCGCATTGTTGGATTTTATATGATCGTATATTGTATGTGCCCCACTTTCTTGCCCTCCATTTTTATTTACTTCGATAAAAATTGATATCAAAGAAATCTGCGATGCTAATTAACTGAAAAAATTGCTAGTTATCTGAAAAATAGTTGGTAACAAAAATATAGACATGTCACAGTAGAAAATAAAAGACTCCCGCTGCATGTAGTCAGATTAGTCTCCATACCTAGGCCTACAACAGTGAAGACCGCTGTTTGCCAACAGCCAAAGTGATTCTTAAAGTCTACTTATTGTCACAGTCAAAATTATTTGTCAACTAATGGCAAATATCAAAAAAGAAATTTACTTTGTTACACAATCATATTTAAGTATTAAACCAGTGACTAAGTCCTTTTCGAGATTTACCCAATTGTTATTGCCATATTTTTAATTTCTACAAAGAGCACAGAAGTGCCATATATTTTATCCCTGAACGAAATAAGGCTTTGATTTTCACTAAAAATATACGCTTTTTCTTCCCATGTTTATCATATGATACCAGAACAGAAAAATTAACTTCAAAGTAGTTTCTTTGCTTCAGAGGATGTGTATCGTTATTTTTATGAAAAAAATATTTCATAAAGAGTTTTCATAAAGATTATACTCTTTAATAATACCGTATACGGGAATAATTATTTCAAAAACTTGATGTCAAATCTCGCAGATTATCCCAAATAACACTCGCCAATTTAGCCAAATGCTAAAACTGACTTAAATTGGCTAAAGAAAAAAAAGGCTTGAATTGGCTAATTTTAGTCAAATTATAACCATTTGGATAAAAAAATTGGTGATTTGGCTAAGCAAAAATAAATAAATAATAAAAATAAAATAAATAATAAAAATAAAAATAATAAATAATAAAAAATAATAATAATAATAAACAAAAAATTGCTAGCGCTACCCCAGAGATGACAAAATTTGTCACTGTACATAAATCCATAGATTCCCCTTTAAAGAGACGTCGCCCCGGTTTCACAGAAATTTAAAAAAAAATGGAATCCGCTTCCCTGATTAAGAACTTGGTTACCAACGTTACATGGTCACATGCACACATCTTACCCTATCAGGAACGGTGCTATACCACTTTCATGGATATCCTAGTCAACTAAGCCAGGGAACTAACTAATTTATTTCTGTGAAACCGGGACCTTTGTCTGCTTTTATAGGTTGTTAATTGAATGTCTATGCATTTTCAGCGTACAACGCCCTGCGACTAAGCACACGAGCGCCAGAGACCGGACCTAGCAAATATTCAGCTCGACCTCCCGACCTCGACCTCCCTGCTTCGACCACACCCATCCTTCTTCGAAACACAGATCGCCCTCTGCCGGTCATCCGTGGAGTAACATTTGCCGTGGTGGGCGCGGTCGCCTTAGCTGTGGTTTTTGCTCTCGTCAGTGTTGTCATCGCGGTTCTGCTTTGTAGACTGCGTAAGAGATATCGCAAGAGGAGTAAGTGGTCATCTTTATCGTCTGTCCGTCTTTTTCTCTCTCTCCCTTAGTGACAATGTGTAGGTAAATCATTTTATTGCTCTTTAAAATTTAAAAAATCACCTTGAGTCGAGGGGATTCTAGAAAATAAATGTTTTTCCATGATGAAATAATAAGTCACTGCTATTTTACAGGAATGCAACGAGAGACTGAAGCCTGTGAACTAGCCGTGTTCGTGCCTGAACCTGCTGTAGAGCCAGCTATGGGTCCGCTGTGTATTGTGGATAAAAGCTTCGATGTTGGAATCCCGCTTGGCACTACAGAAGAGGGACCGTCTCAACCTTCCAGCTACGGTGGCGCCACCAGTCGGAATCAAGATGACATGGCCACCACAGCTCTGCTCATTTGCCGGGATCTTAATGCCCATGGGGATTGTGGGAAGTGTGTCGTTCCTCCAGAGGAGGACACGAGGCTCAAAAGTTTTGGTTGAAACGCACAGTGGACACTTTACTGCCATCTTGTTTCATTAAAACTTGTCATAGACAACCGAGCTTTTGAAGCATAAATGTTTGTTACAAGCTTACAAACTCAAATCGCAAAGGCTTCGTATAGCAATATATCAATTTGCAAGTGAAGAAACTTGTGTAAAAACAGTCTCAAAGGAGGTCGTGAAAGCCTAAAGACTAAATGTAGTGTGCATGAGAGTGAATGTGAACAAAATATATATGATATCAGATATCAATAAACCTTTTTATATCTTTGTGTAACTTATGTGGGGGTTGTCGATAAGCAGTACATTCTTTGATTTTACAGAAAAAAAAACTTTTCTTCTCTAAGCGTTATTAGTCGTCTCTTGCATGTGTGTGGCTACTCAAACGTGTTTATTCGAATCTTCACCCACTCTACTTTTGATCCACATAAATGGCTGTTGTATGAATGGGGTATTAGAATGCCACCGATTTCCAAACGCAGCTCTTTCATCACCTTAATGTGTACTTTCAAAATTTCGGCAAGATCACACACATGCATGAATCTGTGAGTGATTTTCAGTGTTGAAGTAGGCACCACCTTAAAATTATTATATTTTCAAGGTAAGACCGACTAATAACCTTGAAATGAATACAAGACCTAATCTGAGCTAGATGCATACTGCACGCACCATTTATACGTTAGGTAGTTCCACATCATGAAAACGTATTAAAACAACTCGATTAGATTTCTCTTTACATTTTTTTATTGTTGACAGATACTGATCATGATTACATGATTTCAGTCACTGTTGTTTATTAAATGTACAAACAAATCAATGCAATGTTTCATGCCAGGTGTTTTTTCAAGGTGTTCTGGCAAGTATACCATGTTGCTACGGTAACAGTTTATGCCTCATCCTTGGTAACTCTGGTGTATATCAGTTGACTGGAGTGTTTCACAACAAGCTTGATTAGGCCTGGAATGCACATAAATGATGAATATATTAGTCTACAAGGAAATCAAAAATATATAATGTAAGTTATTTATAGCAGCATAAAAGCTTTTTCATCTTCTCTTAGTTTTCCAGTGTTTTGCAAATAAAACGTTTTAACCTAACTTTTTAAAAATCCAATTTCACAACAGTTCTTTTGAATTGCAAATAGAAAGAATTCCAACATATCTCCCCCCTCTCTGGCCCCCACCATATTTTCTTACCTTTCTGTTGTAATTCTGAAAGAGCAGCTCTGGCCAGAGAGCCTCTGATCTTCAGCCTCTCAGAGACCACAGATGGTGTGATCAGTTTGTAGCTGGGTACTTCTTTGTACAGTTTATCATAAGTGCTTTGATCAAAGAGAACGAGATTGTTCAATTTGTCTCGCACTTTTCCCTTAGACCACTTCTGCAAAGCAAAATGATTTACAATGTGTTAAATAGTGATATTTACCATTGCCAGTTCTTAGGAAAGTAGTAAAATTATTTTTCATAATCTCAACTTAACAAAACACTAGTTTTTCTGAAGCATTATGTGTTTAGTTATTTGAAAATGCAAAGCGAAAAATACACCCTTTGAGGATTTGATACCTCCCACTCTTAAAAACAAGCTCATTTTATGTACACCTCAAATTTACAATAGAAATTTTTGACTTAAAATTTAATATTTGTTTTTTCAAGAATAGGATGAAAGAACTCATTTAAATGCATGGGTATATAAATGCTGGGTGTTGATTTTCAGATGTTACAAAAGAATTACCTTCTTCTTGGCCTTGCCACCTCCACTTCCTTCCTTCTTTTTGGCTGGGGCCTTGCCGCCCTTGGCTGATTTGCCTGCATCCTTCCCTTTAGGAGGCTGGAATTAATGCAGTTTACATGAACATACAGGACTTGTAACGAGGTTACACGTTTAATTAAAGGGTGTGCGGTTTTCTCAGTTGAGATATCTCATTCCGTAGTCCAAAAAGTTGATTACTGAAAAGACTTCCCAACATAGTTTGTACACTACAAACATCGCGTTCAGTTTTCCAGTTAATCGTCATTTGTCTACTTATCGATATACAGCATACGTGAGGCTACACAGAGACAAGTTTCTAATTGTTTTCGGAAAACAAAAACATGTACAATAGTAACAGATTTCGCAAATTTGTAAGACCATCTAACCACGTGAAACAATGTTTTCAATACTCCATGCAAATATAAGCCCTTGATTTTAGCTCAAGTGGCTAAAACTGCTTTTTAAATAGGAACTTAAATATTATTTCAATACACTGGAAACAAGGGGGTCAAGACAAGGGCAATTTTGTAGCGAGCCCATAAAGTACACACCATGCTGGTCAAATATGGCTACCGGAAAAGGCAGAACTCTTTTCAAGCACTCGGGACAACCCGTTCCGGTTAAAATCTCAACTGATGCATTTCAGCGCAATCATGTAGCATCCAGTTTCGCTGATATCAGTCTTGCATTTCTGTTGCGTAAACATGCTTTTGGTGGCCAAATTACTATTTTTGAATTAATTTTAAGCTAGGATAGAAGATAAACTTGTTTATGTATTTTGGGTCCCAGATTTAAATATACCAGTCACATTTTCTACTAGTATATATTAACCCATTACAGTGACGTCATATTTGCTCCGTAACACTAGTCCCGCGGCCATGCTGGAGGGAATGAACGACGGGGAATAGTAGCGGTAATATTGGTGAACCAAATAAAATAAAATAAACTTCATATCGCGATCAAGTACACCAAAGGGAAAAGGATATATACAAGCCGAAGCTTCAGCTGCTCAGCAGGATCGACCAATATGAACTCAAGACAGTCTAAAAACATGAAATCCTACCAAATGCTACTTATCCAACATCGTGTTGTCAGAAGATAGTTCAGTTATCTTGTACTTCATTTTTCTTGTTCATTGGGTAATAACAGTTATAGTTTGAGAGAGTTTAATGTGTAATCATACGTTTAACCTTACATAGAAGCAACTTTTTTCATAAAGGATAGATATAAGGAGAAATTTGAGCTGATCATCAGGATAAACCCTTGTGGACTCAAGGAAGAATGTATGCAGGATTGTCATAAAGTATGACATGAAATATTGCTGTCAGTTATGACTTATCTCTACATCGTGAAGCTGTCAGAAATTATTTCAGCATTCTTGTACTTCATATTGGTTCATTAGAAAGTACATGTAACAAGACTGTTGTTTGAGAGAGTTTTATTATTCACCATGAATGCAACCATTCATATAAGCAACATGTTAGGATTTTATTATTATTCAGTCATTCACAGAAGCAAGGCATTTTTCACACTTATGTATTTATGATGTCCAATGTAAAATAACAATAATTCAGTTCATGAATTGATCTTCATTTCT